TACAAGGTACTTTCAATGTTATGGGGCAAATATGATTCACAATTTGGCACTTTTTTAAACGGTAGCGTTTTTTCGGTCACCTCAAAAACCATCCAAAATGAGCTTATTATAGACAGTGTGGCATATATTATTAAGGAAAATGTAAACAAGGAGATTGAAAGTGTTTCTTTTTTTGCATGGAAAATTGAACTACCGATATTACCTGTACATCACAACTTTGAATCGTTTTTAGATATGTCAAAGATGGTAATGTGGTAGAACGTTTTATGGGTTTTCATGATGTTTCATCTGGGCGCACAACTGACGATTTGTTTAATTTTTTAATTCGTACATGTGACACCTATAATTTTAGGCAAAAGTTAATTGCGCCAACCTATTATGGGGCTGCGGTCATGGCCGGCCATTTAAATGGTTTACAAATTAAAATAAAGTCAATAGCTCCTCATGCATTTTTTACGCATTGTCATGCCCATGCCCTAACTTTAATATTAACCAAAGCGTGCAACAACATAAACATTTTTGCGCCTCCGACGTGCTTTTCTGTGTGTATATAATCTTTATGACTTTAGCCTGCCCTGTTCTCCAATGCACGAGCCGTCACTGGAATGAAGGATGGCGACTGTATCGAATAAAGAGTTGATACTTTGGAAAATATGTGTATGGAGCTCAACTAGTGCCTTTTGAATGAAGTGTTCAGGTTTGAAATCATGTTGGGGAGGAGGGATAATGTCGTTTAGTTGGTTAGTTATCGTGCCGATAGCTGAATGGCCGCAGGGTGATATGCGGTTACGAACAATCCCCTTGGGAAACCGGATAACACCTCATTGTAATCAGACTACCTCTGGTAATGCGGGGATCTGCCAGAGTGACCAACTCTTCCCCTGCTACTCGTGGGAACACACATGAATGAAACAACACAAAAATAGAAACAACAAAAACCAATCCCGAGGCTCGACAGAAATGCTCACCCAATCTGGGCTGGGGATGAACAGAAATGTCCACCCCAATTTACCGCTTGGAATGAGGTTGGACATAGCAGATCACCTCCAACAGCAAGGGCACTTCCTGCGGCGGGCGCCAAGAGCTCCGCCTTGAATAAAGGCGAAGAACCGGCTGCCCCTGCAGGAAAGCTTCCTCACTTGTGCACCTCCACGGAGGAAACCCTAAGAAGATTGAAGAAGCCGCACAACGACATTAATATCGCTGCACCTTCCAAAACCTTCGCGAAGGCCACCGTGAGACACCTCAAGATTGCCAAACAGAGTGTGTGTTAGGCGAGTTTTGGCCTACATCTGCCAATATAAACGAGATGTCTTCTAGTGACCTGTTCACCTTCCTGGGAAGGACAGGATGGACGATGACCTAGGAGGACAACTCCTCGGGATGATGTACAATGGGTCACATGTGGCCTAAGTCCTGTGAGTCTACACTCACCCTCCCTACTCTACAGATACCAGATAGCCTCTCCAGCAGTTTTCCAAGGCAGTTGACAAGACTGGTGGGTCTATAAGAATCGGGTTTAGTTTTGTCTTTTTGCGGTTTGGGGATCAGGATAGTATTAGCCTGTTTTCAGGCGGCAAGAAAGTGTACATGTATTAAGCATGCGTCTAGAACGTGTTTGATGTAAGGCAGTGAGGTCTTGGAGAGATTTTTTATCGGCGGTTTACAGTGTCCGGTCCTTTGATGGTATTTCTACCTTGGTAAATAGCTTAGAGGAAGTCTACCTCGCTGCTTGGGGATCTCAGGGGACAGTTGGGGTCGAGGGGGATTTGGCCAGGATGTCTGCCCAGATGTGCGGGAACTTGTTGCTGTACATAGTGTAAATGTCGGTTGTCAAAGTGTACATCAGTCGGTAATTGGTATATACGACTCAGTTGGTCGCGGAAGGCTTTTGCTTTATCAATTGGATTAGAAATGATGTTGCCGTCAATCATTGGGTGACCGACAGTTTTCCGTTTCTGTCCGGTTCGGACTTTGAATTTGTTCTAGAAAGCTGTTCCGTCCCTATAGTCTAGCTTTTTTATCTCCTCTCTCCCCTTTTTCTGGATGAATTGGTTGATAAGGAGACGTATGCGAGCGTTAAGTCGGTTCCATTCCGTTTTTAATGCAGAGTCTCTGGTCCGTACGTAGTTCCTGTAGAGTTTCCGCTTATTTTTGATAAGGGGGGTTAGGCATGGAGTAAGTGGGGGCTGGTCAATTCGTCTAGTCGAGGTTGGAGTGGCTATGTCGTCAGAGTCGATGAATTTTTTTTTGTATTTGGTCAATTTGTATGGGATGGATTGTCTAGGAGTGAGAGATTTCGGTTAATAAGTATTTGGAATAGTTTTACATCGGTGAATTTATGGTTTTTGTAGGAGATGATCTCGAGTGTTGATGGGATTTGGAAATTGAGGGTCGTGTTTTGTGGGTCTCTTGGACGGTGGATAGTGTTATAGTGGGAGAAGTTGGGGGTAGGGTTGGATGTTAAGGAGAGATTTTGTATGTTTTTTTACTAGTTAGTCCTTGGGCTTTTACGGTTAAGAGGATTGAACGCTCAGATTCCCGATCCGTGTGTCTCTCAGTTATTGAATTCCGCAACCAACTCCGTGAAGATAAAGTCTGCCTTATTGCCACTGGCTGTGTCGAAGAGGGAATGTCCAAGAATTGTTTTGCACAATTCATTGGTGAGGGCGAGGATTTTAGTTCTCATGGAAGGCGTGCGGATTAGAGAAGTGTTGCCTGGATTTATATTATGGCTTCAATTTGCCGGGTGACTGTTATGATGTTTGTTGGTTTTTGAAATGTAGAGGAGGCTGGATGGTCGCCTTCGCAATTGGGAAATTTGGGGGTTGCAATTTTATTGCATTACGTTGGGGAATGAGCCTCCCCACAGTGACGGCATTTGATTTTGTGAGTAGGGTACTCCGTTGTCAGGTGCCCGGTAGAACTGCAAGTATTGCAGTATTTCGGGATGGGTGGTAGCGGGTTGACGTTAGGTGCTTCTCACTCATGGATGCGACCTTAAATGTTTACACCGTGTGTTAGATATCTGGTGTACTAGTCCTTGTCGCTTGTGATTATGCGTATGAGAGGTGTGGGTTTATTGGTTTTTTTGAAGGTAATCCTCCAAAGTTTGATTACGCTGATTTTGGCATTTTCCAAGAGAGTTCATATTTCTTCCATTGTTATGTCAAGGTGTACTCCCTTGAGGTTTGGCCAGTGCTGTCACGAAGAAGTTTCTGCAAAGTTTCCGGTGTTTCAATAGTATTTGAGGTTCTCCGGAGGGTTGTTCAGTTCACCTTAAGCTCAATGATTTGACCTCGGATAAATTCGTTAGAGATCAGAAGGTTATAGAGGGACCTCTGATTTGCCAAGCCATCGGGAATTTCTGTTATATTGTATTTTTTTGGGTGTTGTGTAGTAGAGCTAGGATGGTTGGTAGACGGTTGATCGAAAGGTGGGGACTGTTCTGGTTTGTGAGAAGAGTCCACAAAAAGTTGGGGAGGGGTTAGCGTAAGGTATATGTTTTTTGGAGTTAAGGCGAGTTTTCCTCGTCATTTCAGAAAAAGAGTTATAAGATTTGATAGAATTTTTCGTTCCAGATGGTCTTCTGGTGGCTTGGTAGCTTTGTTGTCGGCGGCCTGCTACGTCTGGATGGTGATACCAGGTACTTGGAATTCTTTGCCTGAGAATTAGGCTCTGGTACCTCAATCTGCTACCTCCATCTGGTACCTCTGGTACCTCAATTTGAAAAATTATCATCGACCCGATACCTGGAAAATAATTTACTAGGGGTCAAAGGTCACAAAAATGGGTACTGTAAGTTTTATCATAAAATCAGTTCATACAAATTTTGTAGCACAAATAATTATCTATAAAAATGTTCAGATTTTTTTTTACTCCTAAGAGCCACCGTTTTTGAGATAAAAGGATTCAAAAAGTTGAAAGAGTTGTAATCATCATAATATGCACACGTTTCCAGGCCTCTTTTGAGGTAGTGTACTTAGCGCGTTTTCTCAACTTGGTTTTCCCGGTACGCCTATTCTATGGGGCTGTTGTGAAATATATATTATCAACATAAATGCGACATACATCATTGATGGAGGATATTTTTTATTACACTGCTTTGTGTGGGATAGCGAAGACACTTTCAACGTTATCTCAGATAAATACTTCCAGTATGTCGAAATTTTGGTGATTTTACGAGAAATATTGAAGCCGCAGAACATCTTCATCTTCTGATATTTTATTTGATCAATCAATGACAGTTCCTACCAGTCAACAGAAAACTCTTGCAAATACTTATAACAAAGGTACTTAAAAGTAAGTAGGTACAATAAATATCAAAAGTTATTTTCTAAGAGTTCAGAGTGTCATAGACGAGACTAAATAGCGTAGATTTTGACGACATGATAAAATTAATTACTCCAACTGATTAACGCAAAAACAGATTTTAAACAGATTTTTTTTAAACTGTTACCTTTCGAGATATAAATTTTAAAATCTGTAGTGTTCTCAAGTAGAGTGAAATACGGTATCGAGAAATGATCTTGATATTTGGGAGTTATTCGCCTTTAATTTGGCTAGCTGACTAGTCAGTAACGTACGAACTCAGAAGTAGATCGGTTGGACTTCCTACGGAGTTCTGGGTAAATTTTTGGTACTGAAATACGAGATTTATCAGGTCACTAATTCACGAGGTGGTTCGAGAGTGATAAATATCCGCGATTTATTTGAATAGAGATAAAAAGGAGTCCCGTACGAAGTCAGAAGTAGGTCAGTTGAATTCCTTATAAAGGTTGGAAATTCTTGAGGAAGTTCTGAGTGAATTGCAATATTGAGATATTTCAAGTCACTATTTCGAGAAGTGATATTGGGTTTAGATAATTATTCGTGGTTTGATCCAATAACCTAGCAGCTAGGTCATAGCTCAGTAAAGGAAGCATAAGAAGAAGAAGAATACTAATTGTTTAGTATTTTATGTTCTATGGTTCTATTTTGTTTTCCAGTTGAACCACAAATATAATAGTGGGGTGATGTCGAGCTTTGAGCCGTTTGAAGTTGAAACGGTTTATTGGCTTAAATGTTGAATGACTTAAAAATATAAAGGTAAAATGATTGATGATGAATGATACATTCAATAATTTTACATTTACTCAAACTGGCGAAAGATTCAATTTAAGAAAAAATAGCAAGTTTTGTGATCCAAAAGTAAAGAAAGATGCAGAGAGTTCTTCCAAAGCTGACTCGAATAATGAAATATCACTTGACGACTCCCAGTTCCTTTCGCAATATTTCTCCTCAAGGGAAAGTACATCGCCTAAAAGAAATATAAAAAGAACTGAAAGAAAAAATAATATTTTGCAAGATGTAGAAACTGAAAGAGTTTTAAGTAATTGCAAAACTGATTATACTTCAAATTCTGTTGATTCTACAAAGTTTCTGCCATGTAGAAATAAGGACAAGAGGAATATTGTCACAGATGGATTGAATAAGGTATTCAACAGTAAGTTAAATATTTCTAAAACAATTTCTGGAGATTCATCACTTCACACCCCTAAGAAACTAATTAATATTATTGATTTAAAACAGTTATCAAGTTGGGGCCTGCCTGAAGCAGTTTTGGAGAAATATTATGCACGTGGTTTAAAATCAATGTTTCCCTGGCAAGTTGAGTGTCTGAGCAATGAAGATGTATTGAAAAATAGAAAAAATTTAATATATTCTGCCCCAACTTCTGCAGGAAAAACTCTGGTTGCTGAAATATTAGCCCTCAAAACGATTTTTGAAATAAAAAAAAAAGTTATATTTATTCTGCCATTTGTATCTATAGTGAGAGAAAAGATGTATTACTTTCAAGATCTACTTGAAACTAGTGGAATTAGAGTCGAAGGTTTTATGGGCTCACATAACCCACCAGGCGGTTTTCATCCAGTACGATTGGCCTTATGTACTATCGAAAAAGCCAATAGCCTCATCAATAGGCTTTTAGAAGAAAACCAGTTGTCAGAAATTGGGACAATACTAGTTGATGAACTGCACTTACTGGGAGATCCACACAGAGGATATTTGCTTGAATTACTCCTCACCAAGCTCAAATATGTTTCTCAAAAAGATGACAAATTACAAATACAAATTATTGGAATGTCTGCCACTCTCCCTAATCTACATCAAATTGCAAAATGGCTAAATGCCGAGCTATTTACTACTAGTTTTCGCCCTATTCCTCTTCATGAACAAGTACATATTTGTGGAGAAATATATGATAGGAATCTCAAGTTGATAAGGAAGCTGACACCTTTGCCCAATCTTGCTGTTGATACCGACAATATACTCCAACTCTGCTTGGAAACTATTAAAGAGTCTTGTTCCGTTCTTATATTTTGTCCTACTAAAAATTGGTGTGAAAATTTGGCTCAACAAATTTCTACAGCTTTCTTGAAAATGGGTGAGTAGATAACTTCTATGTCCTAGGTTTTTCACGAAATTAAGAAATATTGTCATAAGTTATACAGTTCTGGTAAAAATACCAAACCCTTGCCTCTCATATATAGATATATACAGGGAGTTTATTTGATCTACACCAATGTTGCTGTAATTTCGGAAGTCACTGTGTTTTTGCATGTGATTTTACAGATATACAGCTTGCCTTATCAAATTTCAGAGAGTTATGAGTGACTCTATTTTCAGTTATTGCAAATTTTGTTGTTCAATTTTTCGTGCATCGTGATGCAATTAGTTGTGGAAAATCTATAATGTAGCTATATTTCTGTTAGTTACCAACAGGAGAGTGTCCTGTTGGTAACTTCTGTGTTCACAGCAATGCATTCAACTCTGAAAAAATTCACAATTGATGTGCATCCCCCCTGAATAACCACCAGTATGCTTATCAAAACGACAGATCGACAGATTTAGCATTAAACAACCTTGTTGAGAAAATTTCCCAATCCCTTGACAAGGGATTGGGAAATCAAGCACAGTTTTCACGGACCGCCTTAATAATATAAACAGCAAAAAAACGGATTAGGTATTTTAGTTATTACAGATACAAAAAAAACAAATATAGGAGGTAATTATAACTGTTTATAATGAAAAATATGAAGAAAAAAAATTAATGTGAAGGTGGGTGTTGCTTTTTTGCAACTAAATCAGGAATATTCGGGTTGATGTTGCTACTAAGATGTAATCTCAAATCAGATTCTACTTGTAATCTGTTTCTGTATTTATTTTTTGTATACACAAGAGTAGAGAATGCCTTTTCACATAGGTATGTGGTTGAAAAAAGCAGTAAATGTTTCAGTGCTTCGTCCGATATATCCTTATAATTTGTCTTTACGTTCACCCAAAAACTTGATAGTGAAGATTCCTTGAAATTGCGTTTCAATGCTGAATCACAGGATATTTTTATTAATTGGTTTTTCTGTGCCGCTGTCAAGATAGTAATATCAGAAACATCTGTGTTGAAAGGGTCTGATATCCAATTTTTATTTTTGTCGGGTACTTGGTTTCTGGGTAATCCCGAAACGAAGACCTCAAAGTGCGGAGATGTGTCACCATTTCATCTTGTACTTGAGTAGAGTAGAGTAGAGTTTTAGGACATGGTACTGTGAAAGAGACTGTGGTAGGCTGTGAGAACAACACTTTCATTTACAATATCTTTGATATTTCTTAAGAGATAGATGGAGGTGGCTAATTTATTTCTCAGATTGGTTATGTGAGCCTCCCATGTCAGCTTACAATCTAATGTTAGTCCCAGGCATTTTACCGGCAAATTGTCCTCCAGAGTTAAATTGTAATTCAGAGTAAAAAGTAACTTTTTTGTTTTATCATTATTTAGACACAATCTTACATTCGTGAAATATTCCTGAGCACTTTTGAGGGTGTATGATTCAATATTCTGATCATAGTTTCTCATTGAAACTAGTAATGTGGTATCATCAGCATATTCAACATGTTTTGACGATAAGAAATGATTTATGTCATTGACATAAATAATATGGGACCTAAAATTGAACTCTGGGGAACCCCCCATGTAATTTCCCTTTTGGATGATACCTTTCCGTTTGAGGAGGTACACTGATATCTTCCTGTAAGGTAACTCTGAATGAATGAAAAAGCATTTCCTCTGACACCATAACTTTCCAATTTCATTAAAAGAATTTCATGTGACACACAATCAAAAGCTTTGGAAAGGTCCATGTCACATTTCCTTTCTCAAATTCATCTGTGATGTGAATAATCATATCTACAAGTGCAGTTATAGTAGACTTTCCCTCACGAAATCCATGTTGTTTAGGGTTCAGTACATTTTTTCTCTCTAAGTAGTTGATCAGTCTGGTTTTATAAGCCAATTCAAGCAATTTTGATAGAATAGGAACTAGGGAGATGGGTCGGTAATTACTGATATTATTTTTGTTACCCTTTTTAAAAATCGGTATAACTTTGAAGAGTTTAAGAATCTCTGGAAAAACACCTTCTGCAAAACTGGTATTGATGAAAAACGTTATGGGGCTGATTAATTCGTCTTTTGCAAATTTCAGTGAGTCGATATTTAGCCCATATATATCTCTTGACTTTGATGTGCTTAATCTGTCAATCAGGGTAATTATCTCTAGTTTTGTTACTGGAGTTAAGTAAAATGAAAAGGCTACACTGTTATTCTGTATTGATTCGATATATGTATCGCCATTAGACTCTAATTTTTGGACAATTTCCTTGCCAATGTTACAAAAGTAATTATTGAAGTCATCCCCAATATTTGGAGGTTAGGAGAAGTGATCATAGTAGGTTTTATGAGTGACCATGCCATTCTTTGCTTATTCTTTGCATGCATGATTAGGCGTGAATTGTGTGATATTTTTTCAGTCTTAATTGCTAGTCTATACCGCTTCTTCATTTCCTTATATATTTCCCTCATAGAGGGTCATTTTTAGTGATTTCATTCCACATTAACAACTGGTTTTTCAGTTCTACGATGTATTCACTGTATTTTATTCTTGGTTTCTTGTGCTGGCAATATTGCTTTACCAGAGGACTCCAAAAACGCTGACAGTGTTGGAAAGTGATTATAGTTTTTTTGAATTGTACGATTTATCTAAAGGTCAAGTTTTTTTAGCATCGTTTCAATTCTATCATCGACTTGGAAGATGTTGGTATCTCTCCCTTGTAGACATTGTAAGCCATCCAAAGTCATTGAAGTGATCAGCATATTTGCTGACGCTGTGTCTAGAATTCTTCAAAAAGAACATTTTGATCTCATCTCTCAGCTCAAAAACACGCGTCACAACTTTGCCACGAGATAACCAACGGACTTCAGCGTGTAATAATAACTGCTTGTGAATGCTTCCCATTTCTTCACGAATGATACCGAAAATACGGGAATTTAAAGGCCTAGCTTTAATAAAATTCACCACCTGCACTTTGTCGTCTAACACTGTTTTTAATTGTTCTGGCATGTTTTTAGCTGCTAATGCCTCCTTATGAATGCAGCGATGATGCCAGATAATAGCTGGATTCATCTTCTTAACGCGCGCCTGCAGCCCTATTCGTGTCCCGGTCATAGCCCGAGCACCGTCGGTGCTAACTGCCACACACTTGTCCCATGTAATTTCATGAGTGGACATAAAGTTGTTCAATACTTCAGATATTGCTTCATCTGTAGTGTGCGAAGGTAAAGGTAAACAAAATAAAAAATCCTCACTTATGCTGTTGTTGTGTTCGTAACGAACATATGCAAGCAAGTTTGCATCATTGCTAATATCTGTGCTCTCATCTAATTGCAAAACATAAAATCTGCTTGCTTTAACGTAGAAAATCAGCTGTTCTTTAACATTTCCCGACAAATCATCAATTCTCCTCTTCACTGTGTTGTTTGATAACGATACAACGTCCAATTCTTTTGAAGCTTTGTCACCTAACATAGCAGAAACTATGATTTTAGCACACGGTAAAATTAAGTCTTCAGCAATGGTGTGGGGCTCACCACTTTTTGAACTAGCAAAAATACTTGGTAGGACGCTAATACAGCACTTTTGTTATTGGTCCCAGTGGCAATCTTTATCATTGTTTTTTTTGCTTTGTTCCAATTGCGAGGCTTTAATGAAAAAGGCTTTTGATTTGTCACGATATTCCTGGTGTTTTTTTTCTAAATGACGTCGGAGTTTGGCCGGTTTCGTCGATTCGTTTGACAAAACTTCGTAGCATATGACGCACTGAGGTCTGTCTTCCCCGTTTAAATTGGTACTTGTGAAACCGAAAGCTAAGTATTCGTCGCAAAACTTACGACGTTTTACATAATCAGTTCAAGAATATATAAACATGGAAGGGTTAGTATTTGGAGATTCTTGAATAAAGGTTTACATGTTGTGGTTGGATGAGCATGACAAATCGTTCTTATTATCCTTTTTTGAGATACAAATGCCCTTTCAAAGTGACAAGACGACCCCCAGAATATCACGCCATATTGTAGAGTAGACTGTACCATCCCAAAATAACATAGTCTCAAGATGTCTGCTGATACAAGATGTCTGCTAATAAAACTGGTTTGCTGATTTTTCGTTTTGCGGCCCTTTTGCATTTAATGAGCGATTTATGTATGGTCCAGAGAAGACACCGCGGACCCCCATACATATACTCGCGGACCCCCAGGGGTCCGCGGACCACAGGTTGGGAAGCGCTAATCTATAGGATTGGCTCTGGCTAGGAAAGGTTTATAATCGACCATAACTGGCTGGATCTATGTCATGCTGGTAAAAAAAAACTGCCACTACGACACTTTAAGTTGAGGCCATTAGGTTCAGGTTCACCAAGGGCTGCCGTCAAGGTGGGGTACTGTCTCCCCTTCTGTGGTTGCTACTGATGGATAATCTGCTTGATGTCCTTGACAGAAGAAAAGTTGATCTGCAAGCTTATGCAGATGAACTTGTCATCCTGGCAAGGTCCACGGCGGGAAGAGTAGCTTGTAATTTCTCCAAAGCACTTTGGACAATATGTCCAAACTGTCTCAATATGCCAGACTGTCTCTATGGACATGTCGAAGGATTTGTGGTAAAACTTGGGGTTTAGGTCCCAAACAAATCCATTGGATTTATGTGATGATTGTCAGACCAATGATCACTTGTATTTCTGAATAAAAAATGTGAAAACTAATTAGGTTGTTAATCTTTAAACACGTCCTAATTAAATAGCAAAACCTCGTAACCAATATAAACCTCTAAAACACGTAACTAGCTTTTAAAACTACTATTAGCGCTTTTTTTTTATATTAATAGCTTGTACGGTGTCGAGAAATCTAATATTCAATAATGACAAACGAATAATATTTATGAATACATTATTTCAGAAAATATGAGGTTTCTTCCTTTTTTTTGAAAAATTAAGTTTTTGCAGATACTTGGTTTTGCGGTGTCGACGACGGTCGGTATGAATAAATTTTTTATTGAATTAACATGTCTCGACTACAAGGTCATTGGCATAGGTACAATATGAAAGAGCGAGGAGATGTTTTACTGTAACTAATTTTTTCAGAAATTTTGTCTGGAATCGCGAAAGAAAATTTTGGGATTTCTCATGATTAATCCATTTAGTTATGAAAATAAAAAAAATGAATAAACAATGCAAAAGTTTAATCGGTTTTTAATGTTTTTACATCTTTGATTGTTTATAATTTTCATTAGGTAGATGTGACAGTGAGTGGGGAAAACTGTTGAGGAGTCAGTTGAATACTACTCTGATAATGGAACTTCTAGAACAATTGAAATATTGCCCGGTCGGTCTGGATGAGATATTACGAAAAACGGTGTCTTTTGGTGTGGCATTTCATCATGCTGGTCTTACCATGGATGAAAGAGACATCATCGAGGGAGCATTTCGAAACGGGTCCTTAAGAGTTCTTGTTGCAACTTCGACTTTGTCTTCTGGAGTCAATCTCCCTGCACGAAGAGTTATAATAAGAACTGCAAATTTTCATGGCAAGCCGATTGATGCATTGACATATCGACAAATGATTGGAAGAGCTGGTAGAATGGGCAAAGACACACTTGGAGAAAGCTTTCTTATATGTCAGAAAAATGATTATAAAACAGCGAAAGAACTCATGTCTGCAGATCTTAGGCCTATAGAGAGTTGCCTAGAGGGCCATGGGAAGCTAAAAAGAGCCATATTGGAGGTTATTGCAAGTGGGGTAGCCTCAACTCCTGAAGATGTAGACTTGTTCACAAAATGTACTTTGCTGGCCATTGAAGGTGATGGTAGTGAGGATTTGAATAATCCTATAGAAGAAGCCGTGACGTTTCTGAACCAAAATGAATTTGTCAAGTTACAGGAACAGGTTGATAAAACACAAATATTGGTTGCAACATCTCTTGGTGAGTGATAATATGATTTGTAACCTTTTATTCAGAAATTTAATATACTACTCTACCCACACTCTACCCCCTGACTCAAATTTGCAAATGCATAGGATATCTCAACGTCTTTTCAAATTATCAAATCATTGTGAAAAGAAGTATCATTGAAACTTTCAAAATGATAGAGCCAAGACAGAAAAACTGTTGAAAACAAAATTGTTCTTGAAGATAATGTATATCCCAAAAGTTTTGTTTTTGAAATAATTCAAACTGAATATCAACAACAGTCACCAACACAACATCAACAATAACCACTTCAAACCAGTTTGTCAAATGTAATTCCTGAATTTTCTGGCCTCTCTGAAAGGATGAGTCAAAAATTTGTTGTGAATTTAATGTTGTAATTTTTTCAAAATTCAGAATACCGGCAAGCAAAGAATAATACAAAATACAATTAAAAACTGAACTATTAACAAGAAATGTAAATTAAAAGTTATTAACAAGAAATGAACATTAAAAATTAAAAGATTTCAAGCCAAGTTACTTCAGACGTTTCGATTATTAGTATCCGCAACCGTCTTCGGGTGATGACTGGACTTATTTCTCGGAGATCTGACTATTTATAAGTCGTTCGAGTGCTTTCACTTATCCCCTCTTTCCTCTCTAGGCTTCTTCGGTTTTTGGCGGGAGCTGACCGCTTGGCGGAAGTTGATCGCGCTCCGCTTGATTATAGGTTTACATATGTTGCGTATATCTATCTAGCTTGGCTAACTAGATAGATAGATGGCTAGCTACGCTAGCTTGGCTAAATGCGTTGTTGGACAATACCGGGTGTCCCACATTTTATGTGACAGGCAATATCTGGTTTGTTGAAGGAGATACACAAAAATGTTTCATACAAAAGTTTTAGGAGTTCATGAGAGCTATATTTTGATATAATTTTTAAATATACAGGGTGTTTGGTGTAGGTGCTACAGACCAAAATTCCATTTTTTAAAATAGAA